AGATGCAGACTTGCTGCTTTTGCCTATCCTGCCTACCCCCAATCCTAGCACCTAAAAGCCTTGCTTTAGGCCCTGCAATCTAGGAGCTTGCCAGACCAGAGCTCCACCAACTCTGCTCTAACCCAAGAAACCTCTGGCTTCCTCAACAACCACACCCCTCCTATTCCCCACTGTATTTCTTCTATCCTCCGGGAGCCCTTATTTATACAGCCCACAGCTGGGCCCTATCTGCCAGCTCTCTGCTGCAGCTGCTTGCTCCATGGCTCCAGCTCTCCAGCCCCGGCTGGGTTTTAACCTTAAAGGGCCAGTGTGGGGCAGATGCCCAGTCACAGTTACCCTCAGTAAAAATCCCAAGCAAGTCCTGTGAAGTCTGGATTGATGTGGGTGTAGCTGAGATCGCACTCTGGATCGTTATTTAGAGATTCTGTGCTAGCAGATTGGATTTAGGGAAGGAATTTGCTGCACCCCTGCATTGGGAAGGAAGGACTGCTGTGGCCTCTGAGGGTGTCTGCTATGAAGTGGTGCCTACAGCACAGCATCCTGACTTAGGACCTAGCCAGCCGGTCCCAAGGTTGTGGCACATTAATGGGAAAAGGAGGGGGAAGCACACTCTACTCTGTAGATAAACAGCTGCCTCCGGCGCTCTTCACCCCACCCCTTGCACTAGCACTGAAGTTGCACACACTGCACATTTTTTCAAGTGTTTCACCCCCAAACATGGGGTCACCATATCAGCAGAGCTCCTTAGCAATCAGCAGGGGTGGGCATACTAAAAAGGGGACAGTAGACCTTTAAGAAATAGCATTTCTGAGCACAGAGGCCCACCCTCAAGTTATGCACTGAGTGACAGCCTGCAAAAACCAATAGGAGAGCCAGCTGGGATCCAAAGCATTCTCATTAGTTTAGATTCCAAAGGAGGCGGGTCTTAATGCACAAAAAGGGAACTGCAGCCATTTGTGCCCCTTAAAGCACTTAGGCTCTTTAGATGAAAGCTAAGAAGGATGAGGAAAAAAGTTGCTTTTGTTGTTTAACTCTATGCTAGTAAGAGATGAGTGTAGGGCAATAAGAGACACTTCAGTAGAGCAATTTCTTAAGTGAGGACTGAGAAGGGAATAAGTGCAGCATTAGAGTTTCTACAAACACTCCTAGGCCAAACAGAACATGCAGACAAATAGGGAAAAGAAGGTTTTACTGAGTCATTCTGTAACAGCAGATAAACTTCTTGTCAAGGATAAATATTGTTCTTACTGCTAAAACAAAACTTGAGTCTTCCTAACTGTGATTCTAGACTAGGGAGAAAAACCCATTTATTGAAATTAGGCTTTAAATTGAAAGCTCTAGTGTGTTACTTTCCTAAGGAAACACAACATACTAAGTTAGTTGTATCCTAAAATCACACTGATGAATGGTTTTTTGTTAATCAGTTAGCCTAGTTTTATTTTTTTGTTTTATGGTACAGAGCAGCTCTGCTTGTGTAGCACAAAACAGCTGAGGCAGTATGATTTATTCTGAGGCATGTAGTGAATTTACTTAGTCTTATTATAGCATAGTAGAAAGCAGCCTAGATTGTATGTAAAAACTGAAATATTTTTTGGCTAACTTTATCAAACAAGATGGTATCAAACTTTATCAAACAAGAAATCCATTTTTTATTTTTAGTTCCTAGAGCACAAGTTTAACATTAAATTATGTAAGAGCTTCAACCGGGTAGCAGAGTTAGTCTGTAATAGGAAAAACTTAAACAGTTTAGTAACACCTTAAAGACTAACAGAACATGTATATGTTATCATGAGCTTTGTGGGCACAACCCACTACTTCAAATGATTGGAGCATTAGAAGTCCAAGTCCAAGAATAAATAAGGACGGGGGCAGGGGGAAAAGGCTGTGCATAGATTCAAATAGTTACAAGAGGCCGATAAAAACAACTAGTACCTCTGTTTTGTTGGTTAAGTCATTAGGATGTGGACCCTGTTATGGGAGCCAGCTGGTGTTGGTGTTCCTGTTCATACCATTTGCATAAGTTTTTAATTAGTTAGTTTGGGGGGACAACTTTTAAAAGTATACACAAAACAATAATGCAGGGGTATTTGCTAGGCTAACTGCAGGAGTAGCAGGGCATGAAGAAACTCTAACACATTATTCCAAAAGTTCCAGTGAGTTCTGTGAAGGTGTCTTGGTGGTGTGTTGTTTTGTTTGTTTTTTGTCTGCATATACTCATTAGGAAAACACTCCCACAAGTGTCCCCCTTTAGAAATTCAGTTGGAACAGGTTTGGGCTCTTGTATAAGAGAAACCAATCAATTGTATATTGGAGGAAAATTCCTAATGTATATGGATCTCCTAGATCCAAGAGTTTATGGCTACAAATTAGATGTTGGCCTTCCCCTTCAAGTTTAAGGGGAATGTAGTTTGAAAAAAACAAAATAAACCCCAACAGTTACGTCCATATTTCCAGATACAACATCTCAATCCAGAATCATGGATCTGTGTAAACTTTTTTGAAGCAAAAACAGGTTTCTCATTCAGGCAGCTTTTGGCTTCTGCACTTCAGAGGGGCTATAAAATTCCAACTTACAAGTGACTACCGAGGACCCTGGAGGGAAGTAGGGAATTAAATGCAGCTGACAGAACTGAACATTGCTTTTCCTGCTGCCTATCAGGCAGACTACTGAAGCCTAGAGATAATTGGTCCTATTTGCCTCAGCTGCGCTAAGACCCTTGATTCTTGTCAGTTTACCAGCCCCGGAGCCCAGGTGCAGACCCTTGCACACAATGCAGCTCCATGCTAATTAAGTAAAACTGGCTGCTGGAATTGTAACTGAGGAGTCTAATCCTGTAAAACCAGTGTGGTGCCTCGGCTAGGGAAAAGATTTGTTGCGAGCAGGATATTAGTGAGAAAAGACTAGGGCCTTACAGATGGAAAGCAAAAAGCCCTCTTCCAGTAAAGGGCAATGTTTGATCTGATAGGCATTTAGCGTAGCTCTTCCTTATAGCTCTGCCTCAACCTGGGATTGTTTGTGAAAATCTCCACCTACCTCACAAGTAACCCTCAACTTGCCAGTGCAGTTGCTTAACCTTTAATGCTTATGTGTTAGAATAAGGCTGCAGCCTCCTCTAATAGTTGTATCAGACCAATGGCGGTTAGTGTTGCCTATGACCAATGATCAGAAAAATTAAATCCACTTCCCTGTTTACAGAATTGAATAGCCCCTTAAGGAAGGCCTTTCAGGGAGGGGGCACCAGAAGCTACATCTGTAGGAACCTACAAAGGGGCTTGGTTTTTAAGAATCAGTCTCAGGCCCAACAAGAGAAGGTGTCCATGAGACTTGTTCATGGTTACATTAAATTAAATGCAGTTTGGGTTTCATGTCAAATTACAGCTGGCTTACCGGGGGAGGGGTGCATTAATCTCTTACTAATGCAGGAAAGGAAATGCCAAGCATTTACTTGTGAAGGTGTGAAAGCTTTGATTTGTAATGTATTCCTGTTCTCTTAGATGTATGGCCTCTTAAGGAGGAACTCTGGCAAACCGTTTTAGATGCCATTGCTGGCCTTTTTAAGGGAAAAGAAAAGGGGTGCTTAGATGGTCTAGAGCTGTCGAAGTCCAGTCTTGTCTTCCAGACCAATCCAGTTGTGTGCACATAAGGGAAGGAAGAATGCAGCTGCTGTGTTTGGGAGTGACTCTTGCAACTTTGCTGCTGGAGAAACACAGGCCCACTCCTTGCAAACTTGGGCTGTTTGGAATGTGGCTTTAAGCTGCTTCTCTGGTCCATGTTTCAGGGTGGCATGGCAGCAAAGCCAGATGCCCCAGAGGGGCAGAAATGGAGAGAGGAAACAAATCAAGTGGAAAAGCACTAACTCATCAGGGAACAGTAGCAGTCAAGCCCTGAGGCGTCTCGTTCTAGGGGATGGTCAGGATTTAGCTGAAGCCTGTGGAGGTGGCGGCATCCTCAGTTTCCCTCTGTCTGTTTGGTCTTTGTAGTCATGAAAGACATCCTGACAACACAAGGTCATGGTGGACCCCTTGAGTGGCAGCCATAATGGTTACACTCACTCCATTCAGTCTCACTTTCCACTCTTTACATGGGATGCCTACCAAGAAAGGGGCAACCTGTCCCATTAGAATCCATCCAAATACTTCTGTGAATTCCATCCAGAGATGCCAACCCATGATTTTAGACGCAGCCTTGAGGATCCCTCATCTCAGTTCCTTTAACTGAAAACTTCCAACTTACAACTCTTGCTGGCTTTTTATAACTTTATGTAACAGGTTGAGATTCCCTTGGATAACTTGAGCACAGTCTTCCGCATCACAAGATGCAAAACCCTGCTGTAAAAGCACTGCTTACCTTTATCACTTAACACAGACCATTCCCAAAGTGAGAACCATGCCAGGGGAATTTTCCTCTAGAGAAAGGCAAACAAAAGGTTGAAGTTCTGCTGTAGCTAGGCGGTTATGCAGAGGCAGGTTTCTCCCTTGGAAAGTTCTGGGGCTTTCCAGACACTGACCACTGGTACATATTCCTATCCGCCAATTGTCAGAGCTGGCCGTGTCACTGGGGAAAGGAGCATTAGGAAGTGAGGAAAAGGAAGTTAGAAGTTCATTACTAGAACTGAACAGTGATTAAAACTCAGACTCTCTCTGCACGAAAGTCCAGCCAAAAGGTTACAAAATTAAGTATTCAGTTACCTTTCTAAACTTAGAGGGGCATACTGCTTGCTGGAGTAACTTCTAGTAGTGTTGTGATAAACACAGTGTGAGCCCTGTCCTGAGGTGTTTGCAGCCTGCCGACCTTACAGAGAGGTAGGAGTCTGAGGGGTAGCCATGTTAGCCTGTAACAAGAGGTAAAGGAATAATATTGCTTATTCAAACATCAGTTATGTACATGGGAAACTGTTTACAAATGCACCAAACATCTCTAACACACTTTGACTAGGCAGCTTAGAGGCAGGACTCCAGGATGGACTTTGTGAAGAAGTCTGAGGGATAGGGGTGTTAGTCTCTAAGGTCTATACGTTAAGGCTTTTGTCAGATAAGACTAACAAAATGTAGAGGGGCCAGGAGTCTTGTAGCATCAAAAGATTTGACCTTTCACACTAAGAATATGCTGAAAGTCAGGCTATTCTGCTTTTCCGGTGCCTGTTGTGTAGATTGCCCACTTGTAGAGCCCCACAAATCCGTGCATGTGGACGCAGATATCTGTGGATCATTTTTGCAGTTGTGGATACCAATTTTGTATCCATGCAGGGTTCTATCAACTTGCCTTAATTCCCCACAGCGAAGAGAAGCCATTCGGAACTCCTCATTAGTAATGGACGGAGTCTCGCTTTTGAGACTTGTCAATAGGTAGCAGTTCTGAAACGACAAATGTCATTTTTTCAGGATCTTCTAAACAAAACTTGCTCTTACTGGGTATGTGTATGCTGCAGCTAAACACTTGTGGATGGCCTCTGCCAGCTTCCAGGGGGTCTGGGCTCTGGGGCTGCTTCATTGCCCAGAGTTTTCCAAGCTTAGCTCAGGCTTTTGCACCCTGGCACCTGGGGGTGGGTGTGTGCAGCCTGAGCCTGGAAGTCTACACTGCAATGAAATGGGCTCGATTTGCCCATGGGGCTGAGTCAGCTGACACGAGCCAGCTGTGGTTTTCTAATTGCAGTGTAGACATGCCCAGTGTTCCTTCTAACTTTTTTCCATTCCTGTGCAGAATAAATTTTGTGTACTGAGGCAAGTGCAGATGTTCATCACCAATAGAAACACCTGCTGCCTGCTTTGGGCACTCTGCTAATGAGCTGGGTGGCATTTGAAACTCTATGGCTACGTCTACACTGGCCCCTCTTCCGTAAGGGGCATGTAAATTTCAAGAGTCGTCGTAGGGAAATCCGCGGGGGATTTAAATATCCCCCGCGGCATTTAAATAAAAATGGCCGCCGCTTTTTTCCGGCTTTTAAAAAAGCCGGAAAAGAGCGTCTAGACTGGCCCCGATCCTCCGGAAAAAGCGCCCTTTTCCGGAGGGTCTTATTCTTACTTCAAAGTAAGACCGTAAGGGGCATGTAAATTTCAAGAGTCGTCGTAGGGAAATCCGCGGGGGATTTAAATATCCCCCGCGGCATTTAAATAAAAATGGCCGCCGCTTTTTTCCGGCTTTTAAAAAAGCCGGAAAAGAGCGTCTAGACTGGCCCCGATCCTCCGGAAAAAGCGCCCTTTTCCGGAGGGTCTTATTCTTACTTCAAAGTAAGAGGACCCACGTGGTGCGGAAAAGGGCACTTTTTCCGGAGGATCGGGGCCAGTCTAGACGCTCTTTTCCGGCTTTTTTAAAAGCCGGAAAAAAGCGGCGGCCATTTTTATTTAAATGCCGCGGGGGATATTTAAATCCCCCGCGGATTTCCCTACGACGACTCTTGAAATTTACATGCCCCTTACGGAAGAGAGGCTACGTCTACACTGGCCCATGTGGCCACCCAAGTGCTCAGCTTACAGGGAACACTGGTAGTGACACACAATTCAGTAACCCAGCTTTCTCATGCAATCTAGTTACAGGTATGAAAACAAACTTTGAATACATCATACAAGCTTTCTCGCAGCTAATACAATATGGATGCTATTTGGATTTGATTTCACCTGTTGCTAGTAATGGTGCCCAGCTGCATTTTGAGACTTAAGACGATAGACGTCAGTTGGCGTTACCTTGAATTCTTGTCCTTAACACTTCACAATTCAAAACCATCTGCCTTTTTGATGTGAAAATAAGCCAAAGGGTGACTTTGCAGTGTGCTCTGTGTGTGCCCAAACTCTACTTTCAGCCTGAAATAGAAAGAAATAAAGGGGCTTCAGAGTCCTGTGCCATGCAACCTACAGTCTGCCAACACTCAGCAAGAGTGCTCCAGGTGATTGGAACTCTGTGCGTGGATTACAAAGACAAAATGATACACCGGCACTGCAGAGCAAAACAAACCTTTGCCTCCGCCCCACTCAGATGTCACCATAACATTAGCCACTGACGTTGCATTAAACAGCGTGAACTGTTTAGCAGGATCCCTGTCAACCAGTGCCCTGTGCTCCTAGAGATGAGGTCTGATAGAAACACACTATTTCATAAAACATGTTGCCAGGAGATTGTGTGGGCTGTAGACCCCAACTGCAGAATAGCAGGGGCAGACTATTTTGTTGTTGCAGCTCTTGGCAGAAAATCGTGCTATGGTACAAATCTCCAACGCCTTCAGCCTGGTGCGAAGCCTTGCGGACTGACTGTGGTGGAGACTCCGTGCACTTACCTTCTGCAGTCTATAAAAGCTGTTTCTATAGCATTCCTCTCCAGGATTCCTGGCTTGTCAGTTGCTCCGCTTGCTAGAAAAACATCAGCTCTTGCTGTAGGTCAGGCTTGTTTTGATTGTTCCGAATGAGTGTAAACACTTGGCTGTCTCCCCAAGAGCAACCTAACCAATCCTGTAGAGTTCTATCCTGGTATGCTAGATGACTGTTTAGGTGTTGATGGAAGAGTGACATTCTGGCATGCTAAGAATAATGGCTTGTGTATGTTTCATGAGTAAGACATTTAAGGGGATTTTTGGAGTCTTCATACTGGGGAGCTTCACCCTGAGGCAATATGGCCTGCATCTTCCTCTGCAGCAATGACTTAATGAAACGGGAACCTTTTTAAGGGTGTACTACCAAAAAAGCGATCTGCCTAATTAATCATTGCAAGATGTGCAAAGTCACATCGCTCATGCATATACTTTGAAGGGAGGTTTGTGCTGTGGATATTCACCACCACCATCACCCTACTATATTAAATTAACCTTTTTTTTTTTTTTTTTTTTGAAGGCTATATATTCCCCATGATGGCAGCTATTTCATAATACTTCAGACCTGCACTCAGCTTTGACTTGTGATGCCAAATTCTTGTGCCCAAGCACCTAAAAACCATTCACCACAATAGGCAAGTGCCAGCTACTTTTTATGAACTTAGCTTCAGACAAAGTAGCATGGTAATCTGCTGGAATGTGAATACTTCACATTGCATACAACAACGTTGGGGTAGCCATGTTGGTCCCAGGATATTAGAGATGTGGAGGGTGAGGTAGCTTGGAAAGTGCTTCCCCGCCCATAACACGATGATGGCTGTGATATTGAGCGTACTCCCCAGGCCTGAAAAAGAGCTCTGTGTAAACTGGAAAGCTTGTTTCTCACCAACAGAAGTTGGCCCAATAAATATTAACTCACCCGCCTTGTCCCTAATACTTCAGAGGCATTCTTAGCTGGCAGGTCAGCACCTCTTCCTTGCTTTATTGATATTAAAATAGTCCTAAACCTTTTTGGGGTGCCTTCTGTAAACATAAGGAAAACGCCAAATCTCCTCATATAAAGACTGCCAATAACTATAGTCCTACCCAAATGATCTTCCTCTTCTGACGCAATGAGTCATGGTATAGGTACTGTTCTTGCTTCTGGTCCAACAACTCTACAGCCACATGCCGTATAACATGGGCTAGAGGAAAACATTGTATTGTTTTACTTCCAACGCAGGTTTTGTTCTGAAACCCATAGGAAGACCTTTTTAAAGGGTAAAAGTTTACCAGTAGGACTATCTACCTAATATTAACTGGCTTATTCTGTCCCCCACTGCTATTAAGATATTCAGAAGGGGGTTTTGAAACCAACTTGCTCTTTCAAATGTATTCAGTCCAATTTGGGCTGGGCATAAATTGTTGCTTTTTCAAGTAAAAAAAAAAAAATACCTGCTTGGCGTAGTAGCTGAGATGCTTCCTGGCTTCTCCAACTGAGGTGACATCAGTGGAACAGTCTGTCTGGCTTTAGGAGAGAGTTAGATGTGGCTAGTTTTGTCATTTGGTACCATTATCTGTGGTTGGACTTATTCCACTAGGAGCCAAATAGCTGAGTGTCGTGTATATTTGCGTGTACAATATACCTGCAGCTCAGTTTTCATACAAGCCACAGTGAGAATAGTTTCAGTCAAACCAGTAGCATGGGTATGCTGGAGTACACTTGGACGTCCACTGATTCTGAAAGTGTTTAAAAATACCTGGCACCTAGATATTTGGGGAAACAAACAGCGTTATTTGTAAAATGACAGTTTTAAGCATTTAATGCCTGGGAAAGTATCTAGGTACTCCTGGTAAATGCTTGCTCTTGCCTCCATTTAGCCTTTCTGATGCTGCTTTGTCACCTTGTACACAATAAAGGTGCTAGGGGCAACACAATTCTTTACAGCACCCTAAAACTAGTTTGTTTTCTGTAGGTCAAAAGCTCCCTATTCCGATTCACATTGTTCTCGTCTAGAAGTGCCTGGTTTTGAAAAGGCACTTTTCCCCAGAAACGTTTGCACCAAATCCTCACCAGCATAAAAGTAGGAAAGCAGCCCAGCTTGGCGACTGGCTTGTATACTAAGCTTTCCTGTTTAGTGATCTCATGGAGACCCCTGGGCTTGTTCCTGCAGCAGCGGCTTTATCTGTTTTTTCTCCCTGTTCCACAGACTGTAAAGTCTCCCCCTGGTGTTGACTCTTCCCCTTAATTCTTCTCACTACCTGGGCTCGTCTACATTGGCCCCTTTTCCGGAAGGGGCATGTTAATTTCAGCCATCGTAGTAGGGAAATGTGCGGGGGATTTAAATATCCCCCGCGGCATTTAAATAAAAATGTCTGCCGCTTTTTTCCGGCTTTTAGAAAAGCCGGAAAAGAGCGTCTACACTGGCCCCGATCCTCCGGAAAAAGCGCCCTTTTCCGGAGGATCTTATTCCTACTTCGAAGTAGGAATAACAAAGGAGGATAACTGGTATAGCAGAATGGAAGATCATACTGGCTACTTTCAGTTAGGAATAAGATCCTCCGGAAAAGGGCGCTTTTTCCGGAGGATCGGGGCCAGTGTAGACGCTCTTTTCCGGCTTTTCTAAAAGCCGGAAAAAAGCGGCGGACATTTTTATTTAAATGCCGCGGGGGATATTTAAATCCCCCGCGCATTTCCCTACTACGATGGCTGAAATTAACATGCCCCTTCCGGAAAAGGGGCCAGTGTAGACGTAGCCCCTGTGTCTCTGATCTGGCTGTTTGGGTGCCAGCTAAGATCAGGCCATGCAGTGACATGTAAACATGTATTGCTTCCACCTCTGTCTGAAAACCTGGCCCTTCAAGTGTGTGACTTTCTGCTGCCCTGTGGCTGGCCTGCCTGCCTCTGACTCAGATGTTTAGAGCCCTGCACGGATACAAAATATCTATCTGCAAAAATGAGCCACAGATGTGGATGTCTGCAACTTTGTAGGGTTCTAGACACAAAATTGGTATCTGCATCTATATCGGCAAAAACGAGCTGCGGTTACCCGCAGACATAAAGCGGCTATGAAAGGCTCTACACCTGTTCCCATTGTGCCAGGAGGCGTATTTGGCAAGACAGATTTATAAATGAATTGACTGGGATTCTGTATCATATGCTGATCTCACCAGCACTGCCAGTGAGTCTGTCTTGATAAGTTTATCATGGTGTTCTAAAGATCCCATTGGTAGGTGGGAAGGGAACGGGGAGATAGTACATGCGCCTCCTCCTTGACCCCCGTCTGCTAGAGTTCCCAGAACTGGGGAATTCAGCCATGCAATGCTGAGGCCAGGGTCATCCTTAGGATTTATGGTGCCCTAGGCGGGATTATTAAAGTTGTGCCCCTATGCCTGACTTGCTCTTAGCAAACATAAGCTTATAGTATTGGAAAACTTGTCGCATGCACGTTATTAAAAACAGTTTAACTTAATTAAGCACACTGTAATGCTGATGGGCTAGCACTGAAGAAGTAGCACTATAGAAAAAAGTCTGATTTACTGACTGAACGATGCAAATATAATTTTTAAAATTTGTCAACACTTTATTGGAAATGTATGTGAAGAGGTATTGAAATAAGGCTTTGTTTTTAATTAAAAGCAATCTTTCTGGCTTTTTTGGCTGCAAAATCAGTAATAATGTCATCGTATGACAGACAAAGCGATGTCTTGCTTGGTTGCAAGATTAGCAAGACCAGTCAAGCGTTCCTGACTCATTGTAGAACGGAGATAGTTTTAATGAGCTTTAGTTTTGAGAGAGTCTGTTCTCCTGATACTACTGTTACTAGAATTGTCAGTAGAATGAGTGGCAATGTACACATTAGGATATATGTCAAGTTAGCTGGTACGAATAAACTGTACAATGTCCATCACCAATTTTGCATGTGGCAACATTGATGACAATGGTCTCAATTCTTTGTACAGTTCAAGTCCATTTAAATCAAAACTATCACCGTGCTTCAGGAGGCTCTCTAGGTTCTTGCACTTTGTCATTAGCTGCTCTTGTTTTCCTATTCTGGGGAAGAGTTTCTGACTCAAGTATAAGATGGGATGCTCTTCCCCTCCTTCTTCCTGGGCTAGCACGGTCCCCAGCCCTGTCTCAGGCATCTGTTTGTAAAATAAACAGCTTTTTAAAGTCAGGCTAGGACCATACAGGGGCGGTTATGAGCCTCTGTTTGAGCTTCCTGAAGGCTTCCTCACAGGGTTGCGTCCACTTCACCCTCTGAGGTTGACCTTTGCATGTGAGGTCCATGAGGGGAGCGGCGAGTGATGAGAAATTCGCCACAAACCTTCTATAATACCCCGCCAACCCTAGGAACTGTCACACCTGTCTTTTTGTTGTGGGAGTGGGGTAGTCCCGTACGGCTTGTACTTTGTCAACCAGCGGTTTGAGATGCCTTTGTCCTACGATGTACCCCAAGTAGGACACGGGATTTCCCAAACTGGTATTTCTTGGGGTTCGCTGTCAGCCCGGCTCCTTGT